TATATATATATATATATATATATATATATATATATATATAGAGAGAGAGAGAGAGAGAGAGAGAAAGGATCATATGAGAATGACTCTTAATGCGAGAAATGAGAATGAGTCTGGATCATTGGATCCAACATATTAATGGTCATGATCTAGTCAAATATTAAATATGTAAGTCAAACATTCGTTGGCAGTTTTGTAAATAAGTGCACAATTTATGGTCAAATATAGACATTTGACCACAAATTAAGGATACATTGGACAATTTGATACAAAAACCATCATGTGGGGCCCACCACCACCAAACATTAATCCTCCCACCTGCCAACGTCTCACCTACCCCATCTATACCTTCACCCACAAAAACACACACACACACACACAGTTCACATACAATCGCCGAACACCACCATTCACACACCATCGCCGGAGAACCAGTTCGCCGCCGCCTAAGCCCTCGACACCATAGACCATCGCCTGACCACCCGACCCAGCCACCGATCTCCGTCGGACCGCCGTCATAACACCAGGTGCACCATCAAACGGACATCGTCGATTACTCGACGCAGTCACCGACGTCCTCGCCTAGCCGGAGATAGTCATCCTCCAAGCTGTAGTTTTGGAGAACATCCTCGCCGTACGCGGAGCCGGAGAGTGAAAATACGTGGTACGGCGGAACGCCACCGTTGTACTCGGCGGCGGCCGCGGCGCCGGGCTTTGAGACGAGTGAATTAAGATCGGTGTTGTTGCTAATGAGATCTCACAGGGAAGACGACCTCGTCGGGATAGGAGAAGAAGGCAGTGAAGCTGGCCGTTGCTAATGAGATATGAAGACGGCGGCGGCGGGTGGCCAGAAGAGACGGCCTGTAGAGGATGGTAGTGGAAATTTGTTTACAGATTTTGAAAATTAATTTGGGTTATGTTTTTGTGAATTAGACAAACATGGAGGACTTATTTGCAATTATCGAAAGTTAATATATTTGCTTTTGCACATGCCATGTGTATAGTTGACCAATATTTGCACTATAATAATACAAAAAATGCACAATATTAAGTGATGATGTGCATATTAAAATTAAAAATAAACTAGTATTTGTATTACAAAAAAAATATTTTTATTTAATATGTTATATTATTATTTGCTTAAAAAATAATATATACATGTAAAGAATAATAAAGAAAATTTAATATTTGTATATGGGTCATTCGGTATTTTATTTTCGATCATAATGAAACAATCGAAATTAAAAAATTAAAAAATTAATAATCGGACTGACATATAAATAACCGGACCAAAAATTATATTAGAGGTTGGATGATAAATGAATTATAATGTTCAATCTAATAGGTATTAAAGTGCAATTCGGCCAACAATATGGTGCACGATAACGGTCTGTAATGTGCAGATCGAACCAAACGAACGTTTGTTACAAATCAAATTGAAAATGAATGGTTTATTCGGTTCGATTAACCAAATTATTATAAATAGTCCAAATAATGTGTTATTTATATTTAAATTATATTTAATACTAATGATTTTATTTATTATTTTCATACTATTTGCGTTTGGAAAAAATTGAATTCGGTCAGTTTCGATCTATAGTGTGCAATCTGATAATTGCGATAAAGTGCAGCTTGTTGGTCTGTAAAGTGCAACGTACTGTTTTATAAAGTGCAACATGATGATGTATAAAGTGAACTATTGTAGGTTCGGTACGTTAGCATGCGTGTGTGTGTGTTTTTTTGTTTTTTTTATGTGATGGATATTAAAGTATTATGTAGAAACGTTTTTTAGATTTATATTGCGTAACATTTTGGCGGGGAATATTGACATTAATTGTGGAATGTGTTGATATAGTGCAACGTATTATGTTATAGAGTGCAGTGTGATGTTTTATAAAGTGCAACATTTTGATGTATAAATTGCACTAATTTATACCTTACTAGATAAATTATGTGTTCTCGAAAAAATATTTTTAATAGAAATAATTGGACATTGAATTAACTTAAATAAATAAAATATCGTTCGATTTTTGTGCAATCTGATAGACATTTATGTGCAATCCGTATAACCCTAGTGTGCACTCGCAATACATACAAAATATAAAAATAATATTATTTCATAGAGTTCGACATGTTTGGATATTTTATTTATTTAAAAAAAAAAACTAAATCCGTCATTAACCAACTAATATTATTCGATCGATTATTAGAATTATTGTAATTTTGGTACGTGCAACACGTTGTGTTATAAAGTGCAATATATTGTTGTATAAAGTGCAATGTATTTATATAAAAGTGCAATACTGAAATTCTTATATGTTAACATGCTTGTGTTCTTTTTTCGAATATATGATGTGGTGGATAGTAAATTATTAGGTCGATCCGTTTTTTATATTTATATTGTGTAATATTTTGTCCAGAGTTGTTGACATTAATCGTAAAGTGCGATGATAAAGTGCAACGTGATGTTTTATCAAGTGCGACGTGTTATTTTAAAAAGTGCAATATTATATTATATTGAATGTTTAAATATTAGTATATTTTAATGTGCATTTCTACACTTATGTGCATTTCATATAATATTTAATATGTTTCTTATATAATATTGCACTTAACATTTAATATATTTATATTTGTTAATGTGCACTTCTAGTTTCTACACTCAATAATAAATACTCCCACCTACTCAGCCTATTCTGCTTTACCAAAGTCTGCTCTTTTTTTGGGAGCAGAGCATCCAGCAAAATCGAGCTATACATTAATATTCATTCATTAATAATTTGGTAAATTGCAAAATTACCAGGTCTCATAATGCAATATACAAAACTTAAAAAATTGCATATAGGTCCCTATTGTTTATCTAATTTACACAAAAAAAAAACCCCACAATATTCTCCATCTACTCTTCCATATCCGTCAACAATGTCGCCGCCGCTTCACAGGGAGGAGATAAAAGTGGCGGCGTCAAACTTGGCGGCACCCTACAGCAGCCTATTTCGTTGATCGAAGCCATAAATGGCTAGGAACTCAATGGCCGTGAAATTTCTCAGCCCCCCGCCGGCGGTAGTGTCGGGTCGTGCCGTGACGGCTTTGTCAATGATTATGTTGCAGCGGTGGTATTTATGTCCGCCTTGATGGTGGGCACGGCGGTGGCTACCAAGGAGCGGCAATGGCGACGGAAAAATCGCCGGCCTGATATTGTGTGTGGTTGTGCGTATTTGCGTTTGTTCATATGGCGTGTGAGATGAGTGGCGGCGGACGGCGAGCTTCTGGCGGCGGCGGATAGCTGCCGACGGGAGTGTTGAACTTGAATGTGTGTTCTGTGTGTGTGATCGATAGAGAATGGGTTGGGGTGGGGGTCAGATGGGGACATGGCGTGTTTGACTAGTGGGTAGGGCTAGGTGGCATTATTTTAATGTGAGGTAGGACCCACCAATTTGAGTAGTGTGTAAAATTACCACAATGTCCTTAATGAATGTATAATTTTGACTTTTTTTTATCCATTAGATCATTCGATCTAATGGCTATGATTTATTCTTATTTCTCGCATTAAGGGTCATTCTCACCGGAGCGTGACCCTATATATATATATATATATATATATATATAAAATATGGGATATTGTATAGCTAAAGAATAGACCGGTTTACTACATTGGTCGGGCAAGCTCGAGGTAAAGAAAACTGTATGGGTCGAGGGATAATCGACCAAAAGGGAAAAAGATCGAGCAGGATAGCAGAACTGGTCGAGGATCGATCTAGCGACGGAGGACTTGGTCAGATCGAGCACCCAACAGGTGAAGAGCAGTCGAGAGCGTGGCTTGAACGCGAGAAAGCGCGTGGGCGGCGTTAGAAGATCCTAACGGGATGCGCAGAGAATAATCTCCCTCTGCTCAGAGGGACACGTGGCGAGAATACATTAGTGCAGAGCAATAGTGGTGATAACCACCTCTGATGCCTCTGACACACACATACTATGTGCGTACGGACGAGCAGTACGGGCAGGACAGCTCACCAGATCTGGGCAGTTCCTAGGGCAGGTACCTCACTCATATATATATAAAAGTGAGTCTTTTCTTGTGACTTACGATTTATCCATTACATACTTTGGAGAATTGAATAGAGTATACACTGACTTAAGCATCGGAGGCTCTTCACCGGAAAACCCCTCCAGTGTGAGAGTTCTGTGCAGGTGCGCGGCGTTCTACCAGCGAGGAGGAGGAAGACGAGCCGATTTCAAGCCGGTCGGAGTGTTTTGCGTTACTATTTGGCGTCGTCTGTGGGACTTTCGTTCGAAAAGTGATGTGCTGAGATTGCTGAAGCTTGGTAGCTATGGCGGACGGAATTCCTAGGAGAGATGCAAGCGTCATTCGATGAAGCGTGGACGACGACGAGGCCGTTCGGAGCAGGCCCTCCTGCAGGCTTCTCCGGAACTATGCCTACACCGGTGACTCTGATACCGGTCCCACAAGGTGTAGGACTCACGCTGGTGCAACCAGAGGCCGATGTGGACTCAAGCTGAGCTCAGGAGGCCCGTACTACTCAAGGAGCGGCGATCCTGACGCCGCTACAGCCAGATCTGATCGTGGCGCCGCATCAAGGGGCGGTGGCGCAGGGAGTACCGTCGCCGCGTATGGAGGAGCAGCGCCCGGCGCAACAGGTGGTGATGACCAGGTAAGAGATGCAGCAGATGGTGGCGAACGTGGCGGCACAAACGGTCCAGCAAGTCACCCAAAGCCTTTCTCGAGTGGCTGCTGGACCGACGATGGGGGATGAGGATGTGTCTAGTTATGGAGGAGATGGAGCTCTGCGAGATCGGGAGGTGGAGAGACTCGCGGAGCAGGTGAGGCAAATGCAAGCGAAGATGGATGGCCGACCTGGGAGGCGTGCTCGAGGACACCCGTTCTCGAGGGACATATTGGCTATACCATTACCCGCAAATTTCAGGGACATGAGTTTGGTGTTCGATGGGACTACTGACCCGTCGAGGCACGTAAGGGCGTTTGAGAACTTGGCTGTGTTACATGGTTATTCTGATTCTGTTAGCTGCAGGGCATTCTTATCGACCTTGAGAGGAGACGCGCTCGATTGGTTCCAGCAGCTCCCTCATGGATCGATCAAGGACTTCGACGATTTCACGGAGAAGCTGATGACCCAATACGCGAGCGCTGTGGCGTAGGAGAACACGTATTTGATGCTGATGGCCATGAGGCAGGGGGAGAAAGAGTCGTTGCGCAAGTATGTAGCTCGATATAATCAAACATGTTTAGAGATCCCTACGGCCGCCGACGAGGTGAAGACTGGGGGGTTGATAAGGAGTTTACGAGCAGGGCCTTGTTGAACATCCTTAGCCAAAACCCCTGCTTGTACGTATGACGATGTGCTGAAGAGGTGCAAGAAGTACATCAACTTGGAGGAGACAGAGGCGGAGTTTGCTAAGTTGGAGGAATTAGCTAAGCCGGAGCCAAAGAAGGGGAGGGCGAACTCGCCTCGGATGGTGTCGCCAAGGAGGAGATCGCCCAGGAGAGAGGGACGTGGCAGAATGGATCGTGGACGAGAGGATAGGTGGAAGGATCGACCAGTGTTTGGAGGGAAGCGGTTCCATAACTTTACGCCGCTGAATGCAAAGATGGGAGAAGTGCTGGTGGCCATCGAGAAGAAGATAGAGGACAAGGACGTGATGTGGCTGAAATCGAGTTGTGAGGGGCCGACAAAGCCTAGGTCGAAGAAGTATTGCCGTTTCCATAGAGATTACGGGCATACGACGGAGAAGTGCAGACACCTCAAAGATGAGATTGAGTGCCTCATTCGGGCAGGGTATCGCAAGGAATTTGTGTATGAGGACAAGGTGAAGGGGAAAGATAAAGGGAGGTGTGGGGAAGATTCAGTGGAGCGGAGTGAGCGAGACGATGACGAAGAGGATGAACCTCGAGGAAAAAGAGGTGATCGAGGAGGTGCAGGAGAAAAACGGAGGCGAGAGAGTAGAGATCGAGGAGGCCATGAGGGTCACGGTCCTGTGAATAGAGGGACGATCTATATGATTTCAGGAGGCCCAACGGATGGGGACTCGAACAATGCAAGGAAGGGGCATGTTCCAGCGATGAAGAGGAAAAGAGAGGAAGTGGGAATTACGTCTCGAATGCCGGAAATAAGTTTTCGGGCAGAAGATGCTGAGGGAGTGGTGTTGCCTCACAATGATGCATTGGTGATTACGGCGGAGGTGGCATGTGAAGAGGGTGTTCATTGATACCGGGAGTTCAGTGGATATAATGTTTTACGATTGTTTTGTGCAGATAAACAAGGAGCTTAATCTTGAGCTGAAGCCGGTGACCACAGTCTTATATGGATTTAATGGAGGCGAGGTGATGCCAATGGGAGAGGTGAGTCTATCTGTTGCCTTGGGGCTAGGGGCGACAAGGAAGGTGAGGATGGTGAGGTTCGTGGTCGTTGGAGCGGAGTCATCATACAACATAATCATGAGAAGAACCAGTTTGAATGCATTCCAGGCGGTCGTGTCGACGTACCATATGACGATCAAATATCCAGTGGGCGAAAACGTTGGTGAGGTCACAGTGGATCAGCTTACCTCGAGGAGCTGTTATCAAACCACGGTGAGCAACAACAAACAGCTCTCGAGGAAGCAGGTGAAGCTCAAGGAGAGAGTGTTGAGTCGACCGGGGAGTTCGAGGTCGAGGGAGGAAAAGGAGATGGCGGATAAAGGGAAGAAGAAGGTGGAAATGCAGCCATGAGAAGGGATCGAGGAGGTCCAGATGGTAGAAGGGTGCGAGGAGAAGAAGTTTCGAGTAGGAAAGGAGCTTGAGGAGCCCATACGGTCGAGATTGATTGGGTTGATCAGGGAGTTCGCGGATGTTTTCGCGTATACTGCTGAGGAGTTAACGGGGATAAAGGCGGAAGTAATTGAGCACAGGTTGAATATCGATCTGACGGTGAGGTCGGTGAAGCAGAAGAGGAGACACCATGGAGCAGACATGGATAAGGTGATCGAGCAGGAGGTTGAGAAGTTGTTGAAGGCGGGTCATGTCAAGGAGATTCAGTTCCCCGAGTAGTTGTCGAACACAGTGATGGTGTCTAAGTCGGGAGAAAAGTGGAGAATGTGCATTGATTTTCGTGACTTAAATAAGGCGTGCCCGAAAGATTTGTATCCATTGCCTAGGATCGACCAGCTGATCGATTCTACCGCGGGGTGTGAGTTGCTCAGTCTTATGGATGCGTCCCAGGGAAACCACCAGATCCCTTTGGCTCGGGAGGATAGGAAGAGGGTGAGCTTTGTTACGAGTAGGGGCACTTATTGTTATGTGGTGATGCCCTTTGGCTTGATGAACGCGCGTGCGACGTATTAACGGTTGGTTGATAAAATTTTCAAGGAGCAGCTGGGAAGGAATATGAAGGTTTACGTTGATGATATGTTGGTAAAAAGTAAGGCAGAGGCTGATCACGTGAATGATTTAAAGGAGACGTTCTTAACTTTGCGGAGGTATGGCATGAAACTGAATCCCGCTAAGTGTTCTTTTGGAGTGAAGTCGGGAAAATTTCTGGGATATATGGTGACAAAGAGGGGTATCGAGGTCAACCCGGAGAAAGTGAGGGCGGTGATCGAGATGAAACTGCCCATAAAGGTTAAGGAGGTGCAGATCTTGACGGGCAGAATCGCGGGCCTGAGCCGTTTCATATCGAAGGTGGCAGAGAAGAGCGGTCCTCTGTTTCAAACACTGAGAAAGAGCTCGAAATTCCAGTGGGCGGAGGAGGCCCAGAGGTCATTCGAGAAGTTACAGAAGGTGTTAGCCAATCTGCCTCTGTTGGCTAAGCCAGTTCCTGGGGAGGATCTAGTGCTATACATATCGATTGAAGAAATGGCTGTAAGTTCGGTTCTATTGCGGGAGGAGGGCACGGTGCAATTCCCAATCTATTACATAAGCAGGGTGATGCAGGGTGCAGAGAGGAGATATTCAGAGATCGAGAAGTGTGCCTTAGCCGTGGTGGTCACGGTGAGGAAGTTGCGGCCTTATTTTCTGGGTCACAAGGTGAAGGTGAGGACGAACGTGCCACTGGGAGAAACTTTAGGTCGACCCTCTGTATCGGGTCGGCTAGTGAAGTGGGCGGTCAAGCTGAGTGAATACACGATAACATACGAACCTAGGAGGGCGATCAAGGCACAGGCGTTGGCTGATTTTATATAGGAGAGTACGAAAGCAGAGGAAGAGACAGAAGGTACTTGGCAAATGTTTGTTGATGGCTCAGTATCGAGAGTCGGAGGAGGTTTGGGCATCGTGTTAATTTCACCCAAAGGAGACAATTTGGAGTT